TCCTAGGAATATATTCTAGAGAAATTAGAGCCATCACACGAATAGACATATGCACACCCATGTTCATTGCAGTATTGTGCACAATAACAAAAACTGGAAGCAACCTACGTGCCCATCAGCAGATGAATGGATAAACAGACTATGGTACATACACACAATGGAATACTACGAAATGATTAAAGAACGATGGTGAATCTGTGAAGCATCTCACAATATGGATGAATCTGGAGGGCATTATGCTGAGTGAAATTAGTCAATCACAAAAGGACAGATATTGTATGAGACCACTACCATAAAAACTCATGAAGAAGTTTACACACAAAAAGAAACAATCTTTGACGGTTATGCGGGAGGGGGCGGTGGGAGAGAAAAACACTAAATAGACAGTAGATAAGGGGTAACTTTGGTGAAGGGTAAGGCAGTACATGATATTGAGGAAGCCAGCACAGCTTGTCTGAGGCAAGGTCATGGATACTCCATAGACATATCCAAATTACCTGAGGGACCAAATTGTAGGGCTGAGGGCTGTGGGGACCATGGTCTCGGGGATCATCTAGCTCATTTTACGTAACATAGTTTATAAAGAAAATGTTCTACATTCTCCTTTGGTGAGTAGCGTCTTGGGTCTTAAAAGCTTGTGAGTAGCTATCTAAGATACTCCACTGGTTCCATCCCATCTGGAGCAAGGGAGAATGAAGAAAACCAAAGACATAAGGGAAAGATTAGTCCAAAGGACTAATGGACCACAACTACTACAGCCTCTACCGGACTGAGTCCAGCACAACTAAATGGTGCCTGGCCACTGCCACCGACTGCTCTGACAGGGATCACAAATGGAGGGTCCCAGACAGAGATGGAGAAAAATGTAGAACAAAATTGTAACTCACACACACAAGAAAACTGGTCTGTCAGAGACTGGAGAAACCCCAAGAGTATGGCCCCCAGACACCCTTATAGCTCAGTAGTGAAGTCTCTCCGCAGGTTCACCCGTCATCCAAAGATTAGACAGGCCCATGAAACAAAAGGAGACTAAATGGGCACACCAGCCCAGGGGCAAGGCAGGAGGGGACAGGAAAGCTGGTAATGGGGACCCAAGGTTGAGAAGGGTAGAGTGTGGATGTGTTGTGGTGTTGGCAACCAATGTCATAGAACAATATGGGCATTGTTTAATGAGAAACTAGTTTGCTCTGTAAACCTTTATCTAAAGTACAGTTTTGTTTTGTTTTGTTTTACATTTAGGTATAGAGATTTTCATCACAGTATTATTTATGATAGAAAAGAGTTAAGTAACCTAAATGTCCAAGAATAGATTGTTTAATTGTACGATACGATATTTTGAGGCTGTTAAACCAATTCTGTAAATCTGTATTAAATGCGGTGGGAAGGTCTTCATTTATTAAGAAAAAAATATTTCAAAGGTTCCATAGTAATATCTCATTTTGGTTAAAAAAAAAAATTAATGTGTCTGTATATAGTTGCATGGAGCCCTGGTGTCTCAGTAGTTAAGAGCTTGGCTGCCAGCCAAAAGGTTGGCAGTTCGAATCCACCAGCTGCTCCTTGGAAACCCTGTGGGGCAGTTCTGCTCTGTCCCATAGGGTTGCTATGAGTTGGAATCGAATTGATGGCAATGGGTTTGGGTTTTGTTTGTTTTTTTTTAGTATATTATTCTTATAATTATTTGTAATGATAGCTATCTTGCTTTTACAAAATATGTCATTGTTGCAAATAATTCACAGATTTTAGCTTGTATAGTCAGGTGCTTGGTTAATACTGTGTAATTTCAGTTTACTGTGTTCTTTTAAAAGTTGTTTTTCAAAATAAACAATTCTTAAAGAATATTTAATTTTTCTATACAAGTATATTCTATATAATTTCTTGTATGTACCAATTCAGATGAACAATTCTAAAGATGGTCAACTGAGCACTATTTTATTAACCTAGATATATTTTGTTATATATAATAGTTCCTAGCTTCTGGATTTGTTTAATGTCTTAAGTCTGCCGCTTACAAATTGTTTACCCTTTAACAAGTTACTTCACCTCTTTATACTTCAGATTCCTCATCTTTGAAGTGGAGGTGATAATACTAACCTGGAAGAGTTGTTGTGAAGATTAACTAAGTGTGTGTGTGTATATATATAAAGTGATTAAAACAATGACTAGCCCACACTAAGCTTTATATAAATGTTTGCTGCCATATATATCTTGAATGCTCGCAGCAACCTCTGAGATAGGAAATATTCTTAATCCATAGTATAGTTGAGGAAACTAAAACTTAGAATGGTTAAGTAACTTGCCAAAGGTCACAGAGCTAGTGAGTAGGAAAGCTGTAGTTTAGAGCCAGAGCCTGAGCTACTGACACTGATGCTGACCTGCCTATAATTTCATGTCAGTTAGTGGTGTTAATAGTCAAAGTGTCACCCACCCCCAACCTAAGAAAATGATCCTCTGTGACTATAAATCATAAAACTGTTATTTTTGTTGTGTGATTATGTAAAGATTTATATATTTCACAACATTATTTTCTATTATAGAGTATGATCTTCCCCAACGGCCTAATGATATTCTGCTCTTTTATGGAAACATGCGTAAAATTATACTTTCAGTGATTGGAGAATTCAGAGATTCCATTTCTAGCAGAGAGTTTCTTCAGCCGTCTTCCAAAGCTAGCTTGGAATCTAAAAGGTAAAAAGAAAGCAGAAAGCCTTTCAACAGATTTCAAGATTAATTAATTAAAGAGATGATCTTTCCCTGTTCTTTCTTTCTCCCTCTCTCTCTTTCTTTTCTTTCTTTCTCTCTTTCTTTCTTTTTTGGTCTCAAAATGTTTATATTTTAGTTTATTTAAGTTTAAATAATTTCAGACTTACAGAAAAGTTGAAAAATAGTACCAAAAGCTCTCATATTCTGCACTCAGATTCCCCAAATGTTAATATTTTATCACATTTACCTATTGTTATTTATGTAGCTTATAACTTTTTACTGAACCATTTAAGTAAGTTGCAGTCATGATGAACCATTAGCCTTAAATATCCCTAAATTAGAAAATGTACATTTCCTAAAATCACAGGTGCTCTCCTACACAGTCATGGGAACCCGTTGCTGTCGATTCCGACTCATAAGACCATCCTAGATACAGTCCTACCATCTAGTGCACAGATTCATTCAAATCTCACCTGTTGTCCCAATAATGTCCATTATACTTGTCAAACAAATAAAGAAAAAACTCCCTCTTTCCCCCTTTCTTTCTGGTCCACAATCTAATCTAAGACCATGTGTTGTGTTTAGTTAGCCTGTTTCTTTGCTCTCTTTCAATGTAGAAAAGTTCTTCAATCTTTCCTTATCTTTCATGACTGAAATAACAGTGGGTCGGATGGTCAAATCAGATGCACCGAATGAAAGGTCATATCCAGAATTAAGCTTTACTAATAATTTCAGGTGAAGTGTGGAGAAGTTTGGGACTGCTAGTGGTGCATCCTAGGTCCTTTTGCAGCATTAATAGTAGCACTCTGACTCAGGTTAACACATGCATGAAGGACTTTGCTTTACAAACAGGGGAGCTATTTCGATCATAAAAGCTCTCCAGTTTATACTTTGATAATTATATAGCTTATGTGATATTTGCTAAAAGAATTATGCCCCATAAATTTATAAATTTCAGATTTCTTTACTGTAAACAATTCTAGATAGACCAGGTACATTATACTAAAAGCACTTCATAAGGACATTAGTGTGTTAGCTGGGATATCTGTCATTAGCAAGACTACAAGGGGATTTGACTGAGTCATCTTTCATTTTTTCCCTGGGCATTACCTGGTGAAAGGAGCAAATAGGTTGAAGGCCAACTACTATCCTTTTCTTACCAATGACCTTGATGTTTTTGAAAAGTTCAGGCCAGTGATTTTGTAAAATACTCTTCAATTTCAGTTTCACATCATTGGCAGGATGCTCTTTGTTTTCTCAGTTCATCTTCTCAGATGGCATTTGATGTTGATTTGTCCCATACTAGTAATATTTTTATCACTTAGTTAAGATGATGTCTGCCAGGTCTCTACTGTAAAGTTAATTAGTAAATATCTTGTAGGGAGATACTTAGAGATGATGAAGTAACTTGTTCCTCATGAAACTTTTGGCATCCATTAATTATCTTGCCTGAATCATTTGTTACTATCATGGTTAGCAATGGTGATTTTCTAATTCCACCTTTCTTTCTGCATTTATTAGTTGGCTTTCCACTATAAGGAAGAGGTTTACTTTTCCTCTTGTTTGCCTGTTCATTAGAGAGGACTCATGGATTCAAGACTTTATAATCCTTTGTTGTCATTGTTTTGGTCCCTTCAAGCTGACTCCTTGATCTTTTTGCTTTGTCCCACATCATTCTTGGATCACTTCCATATTCACTGGCACAACAGAATGTCCTAGGCTCATCTTACACTTTCCCTGCCCCAGTCCTAGAATAGCCATTCTTCTTAGAGTTCCCTCTAGTAGAGGATGGTATTAGACATCAGCATCTGGGCATGAAGTTTGCTCATTGCCGTTGAAATGTCATTGCTTTTAGGCCCTATCATGGGACAGAACTAGGAAATATATGAATTTCTATATATATCCACATACATCTACATTTATGTCTGCTTATAAATATATTTAAAACTATGCATTTAAACTGATACTTCCAATTCTAATCTTTTAGCATAAGATGTGTTCTTTTCTGCCTTTCTATAATTGTCTTAGTCATCTAGTGCTGCTATAACAGAAATACCACAAGTGGATGGCTTTAACAAAGAGAAATTTATTCTCTCAAAGTCCAGTAGGCTACACGTCCAAATTCAGGGTGTCAGCTCCAGGGGAAGGCTTTCTGTTCTCTTTTGGCCTGAAGGAAGGTCCTTGTCATCTCTCTTCCCTTGGTGTGGGAGCATCTCAGTGCAGGAACCTCAGGTCCAAAGGACATGCTCTGCTTCCGGCACTGTTTTCTTGGTGATGTGAGATTCCCATGTGTCTGCTCGCTTCTGTCTTTTATATCTCAAAAGATTGACTTAAGACACTGTCCAGTCTTGTGTACCTTGTCAGCATAACTGCCACTAATCCATCTTATTACATCGTAGTGATAGAGTTTACAACGCATAAGGAAGTCACATCAGATTACAAAATGGTATACGATCATACAATACTGGGAATCATGACCCAGCCAAGTTGATACACACATTTTTGGGGGGACATAATTCAATCCATGACAATAATTGTACCTTTTTTCTCCAATACTGGGAATCCTGGCCCCATTATTCTCATTTTTTTACGTTTTTACTTGGTCTCCCTGTATATAATCAATCTTCCCATAACGGGCCAGTGAGTTCCCTGCAAGTCCTCATGCCCCTAACTGAAAGATCAGTGCTGACTCCCCCCCACCTGCCCACCTGCCCACCACCCTGGTGCCAGCCTGCTTTCTTTTCCCTCTACTTTTAGTGTTGATATTTTTCATAGATATTCAGAGAAAGAATTAAAGATAGTAGTTACACATACTAAAAATTATCTTGAAAATCACTTGGATTGTGAGGACCTCATTCTTAGAATGTTAAAAATAACCAAGAATCAACTTTTTAAAAAAATTATTCGAGTTTTAGCTGGTGCCTTCATTATTTCTCTGGGGCAGTGGAGGTGTGATTTGAAAAGGAGGGGGAAAGAGGGTAATATAATATAAATATACAGGAATTTCTTTCTCTCTTCACCAAGTGTCAACTTGAAATAGAGATGTAGTTCCACTTCTTTGTGATAGGAGAATTTAGGCAATGCACAATTAGTCTTCAGAATTCGATTAGAAAATACTTAGTAAACTTCCGAAACAGTATTAGTATTTCCTACCTTAGCATTTAGATCAGATGACTTGTGATGTCTGCATTGTGAAACCTGTTCTTGCTCTGCAGCTGTAGGTGCATCAGGAGACTGGGCTGAAAGTGTCATTTTTCTTAAATTCCTGTTATTGGGTAGTTGTCTAGTAAATCTTTTAGGGAACTTCTGTTGGTGTGCCGAATTCAAAGCAGGAACTAAATTAAACCGTTTACTACTCTAATTAAAGTTTGTTATAACACTTGACCTATATTGTATGATATTTTGTGTGTATTACTTTAAATATATACAATGTGAAGTATTTTTATTCACTGGAAGGTACCTGGTGTATATGCATTTTTAGTTTTGTCATAATATTTTCAGATTTATAAAGAATTAATATAAAAATGTGACACAATGTGGCATTTTGTCATTTTTAATTTCTTCTCTCTCTCTGTATTTTTGTTTATTAAATAATTTTCTAGTGAATCTAGAACTTGTGGAAAACATAGTGGCAATGTTTCTTTGGATGTTTTACCAGTTAAAGGTCCTCAAGGTTCTCCACTTCTTTCACAAGCTTTTCACCCACCTCAAGATAAATTAGCCTCTGAGGAGATATGGACTGTTCAACCTGAACACTTGATTTTGATAGCTCCTTCTCCGTGTGAGTATATCAAATAACAGCATATCAGCAATGCGCTCTAGAACCCAGGCTTGCACTTTCTCTGTACCCTTGGCACAGCTGGGATATACACATGGACTTTAGGCAAACTTGACTGGTGGTTTTGCTTTGCCTGGATCCCCCTCTCACCTACTGGAAGCCTAACTCAGATTTGACTATAGCATCTTCCTTGGCTTAAGCTCCCAAATCTCAGTATGTCAGAGCCCCATCCATGAGCCCTTCCTCCCCACCACATCCCTAAAGAACTCATTTAGCACTTGGCCTTAACGTTGGTATAGCTGGTTCAGAGCAGGAACAGATGTGTGTATGTATGGGCCAAATACAAGACTGTGCAGTAATAATTTTCAGATTTCCTTTTTTCTCTGACTTTGTTCAGTATTGCCGGTATCTGTATAGTTTCCAAGAGAGTAAACAAATGAACTTATTTTACCAAGAATTTGAAATTCCTGTAATTGAACAATTGAGAAAGTAAAATTAGTTCACTAGGGTATTTATTTAGTTTTTGTTTTTAATTATTTATTAGCATTTGTCTTTTTCACTAATACTAAATATAAGTAACATTTTATTTATCTGATATAATAGGTGACATGGCAAAAACTAGACGTTTCCAGATTTTAAATAATTCTGTTAGGTCACTGAAATTTGAACTGTATTGGCCAGCACATTGCCTTACAATAACACCCCAACATGGAGTTATTGAACCAGAGTAAGTATGACTTCTTCTGTTTTCCTTTGTGTGTTATTCATACGCTATCATGGTGACCTTTTAAGGATCAAATGATACAGGATTTAAATTTATTCAGTAAATGTGGGCACTGTGCCAACTCTCTGCAAAGCGTCATGCTTGCTCTGGGGGGCAGCAGTGAGTTCAAGACGGCTGCCATTTTGTAGAAGACAGGCTATGTGCACAGCCTGAAGCAGTGAGGAGTGTCACTGAGCTTAGCGTTGAGGGCATGTTACAGACAGCTTGAGGTGGGGCACATCACCTGGAGTGGAGAAATCAGAGTGTTTTCTGAAGTGTTTCTCTGGCTACAAAATACCAAAGCAAGGAATAAAATTGGGGCATGTGATAATCTCATAATGGGTGGTATCCTAAAACCCAGATGGTTTTGCCATTTGTTACCTTTCTTCTGTTGAATCACTTATTCTGCTGCTTTTGTCTAAAGGACATTTTCAGATAAAGCTTCCTGACTTTAATATGTCTGAGCCATAACCTAACTTAGCATTTTCTACATAGACAACAAAAACAGAAACAGACTTTCTTGAGGTCATAACATTTGTAATCAGTTGCCCTCCGTACACAGCTTAATTGTTGACATTAGGGGAAGCACAGAACATTCACATCTGAAGGGTTCTTCATGTTTAGGATTTGCAACTTTGAAGAGCAACAACATGAAGTTTATTTACTTTTGCAAAAAGTAAATGATGAGTATGCGTTTTAGGAGGGTTAACTTGATTGAGACTGTGAGGTGAGGTAATGCTATGGACAATTGAGAAACAGTTGTAAAACAGAAGCAATCAATTAAATATTATGTACAGCATACCCTTTTCAACAGATGGTTGAAAAGATAGGGAGATGGCAGGGCATGGCTTCCACAAATCACTTTTTTCATAGCCCTATATATTTAGCTGTTAGCAATGAAAAATTGTCTTGCTCTGCCTCAACTATTTTTAAGTGTCCAGTTCAGTGACATTAATTACATTCACCATAATGTGCTACCATCACCAGTAGCCATTTCCAAGAGTTTTATATCACCCCAAACAGAAGCTCAGTACCTTTCCAGCAGTAACTCCCTGTTATCTTCTCCCCGCGCAGCCCCTGGTAACTACTATTAAACTGTCTCTGTGCATTCATCTGTTCCAGATATTTTGTATAAGTGGGATCATACAATATTTATCCTTTTGTGTCTGACTTATTTTACTCAGCATAATGTTTTGTAGGTTCATCCACGTCGTAGCATGTATCAGAACTTCATTTCTCTTTGTGACTGAATAATACTCCATTGTATGATACACCACACTTTGTTTAGCCATTTGTCTGTTGATGGACACTTGGATTGTTCCCACTTTTGACTATTGGGAAATAATGCTGCAGTGGATGTTGTTGTTCAAGTATCTGTTTGAGTCCCTGGTTACGAATGCTATGGTTTTTTTTTTTTTGACATGTATACCGCAATTTTTTTATAACCGGTAATTATTTTTAAATCACAAATCTGATCACGTCACCCATATTTAAAACTCTTCTTTGTGATCCCATGACTCTTGAAGAGAGAACCACGAGCATAGAAAATATCAGCAACTGGGTGATCAAGAAACAGGAGTCCTTGGGTGGTACTAACCCTTAAGCACTCAACTACTAACCAAAGGTTTGAGTCCCATAGGCACCTCAGAAGAAAGGCCTGACAATCCACTTCAGAAAAATCAACCATTGAAAACTCTATGGAGCATAGTTCTACTCTTGACACACATGGAATTGCCATGAGTCAGAATCGACTCAATTGCAACTGGTTTGTTTTTGTTGTTTTAATCAAGAAACAGATTTTTTTCTTTATTCTTTTTCCACCTCTTCCATCTGGACCATACCATTTGTTGTGGTCAGGTGGCTAGGAGCCTTGTAGTATTGGTCTTTCACCTCAGAAATTTTTATTATGAATTGTTTTTAAAATGATATTTCTGTGGCATGATTTGTTTTCACATGAGTTTTGCCCTTAGGTTCATGGGTTCATGGCATTCAACTTTGGGCACTGAGGCAAGACCAAAAGTGTGGGTAGGTTATGAAGGGAGCCAAAGACTCTGCTCTCTGCCCTTTCCAGGTGTTAAGGAAATGGTCACTGGCAGGGCAGTATTTATGACTCTTGTGGTTATTGCTACTAAAGTATAGGCTATTCTTAGTTTTCATTATTAAATTCTTTTTTGAAGGAGTAAACTACAAATTCTTGTGAGTCCTAATTCCTCCTTATCCACAAAGCACTCAGTGTTCCCATGGAGTGGTTTGATCTACGTACACTGTGACAATGGACAGAAGGTACTTTAAAAAAATCTTTTTTCAGCAACATTGCTCCTATTTTGCAGCCGTGTTTTGTTTCTTATTAGCACTTACATTTCAGAAGTCAGATAAACGTATTAGTACATCTGTTGTTTTTTCAGCCCAACTAGATTTATTTAAATATAGCACTTTGTACAGAGTTCTTCCTTTCATGATCTGAATGATTCTCTTGGTTGGAGGTGGGGGTGGGGCCTAGAAGCCATTGCTAATTGAAAAAAGATTGGAGGTGGTAGGGAGAGGGCAGAGAGTCAGAGTTATTTTGTTTGAGAACTGAATAAGCTTTAATTTCTAAAATCATCAGTGTTGCATTTGTTGGACATTTTACTTTTCCATACCATGATTTAAAAAATATGAATTGTTTCTTTTAAAGGATATCTACATTTACGTCTTACTCCTTTATTTGGCTTATTTCAGAAAATTGTGAAAGTTCAAATTCAAGAAGACTTGACCCAAGAAGAGCGTCCTTTTGCTCATTGGGCCTCTAGCCCATTTGGAATCCTTCCTCCAGGTTCTGAGCTTTCCATTAGTCACTTGGCGAAACCAGTGACTCAGCTACCTTCCACAAAAGTGGAAATAAGAAACAAGACTGTTACTTTTCCTGCAACAGAACCTGGTGAAACTTCAGGTATTTTATCACAAAACTATGTAATTCAAATGTCTACTGATAAATTAAGGAGCCCTGGTGGCTCAGTGGTTAAGTGCTCGGCTGCTATCCGAAAGGTTGGTGGTTCGCACCCATCAAGCAGCTCTGCAGGAGAAAGACCTGGCAATCTGCTTTTGTAAAAATTACAGCCTAGAAAACACTATGGGGCAGTTCTACTCTGTCACATGGGGTCGCTATAAGTCGAAAATTGACTTAATGACACCTAACAACAACTGATAAATTGAATCTAATGTTGTGTTCTTAGTTAGCCCTAAATTAGTCAGCAGTACGAATTTCCCCTGCTTCAGGAGAAAACCAGGTAGTCATTGGCCATAATGTAAATGATGGGGTTGGTTTTAGGGGAGCTTGAAAATCTTCACATGTTAAACATAGGCATTTAGTAACTCTAGTAAATCTTACATTTTCTTTCAGGGTCAGAACTATCCCTCCCCAGGTCTCACCAAATCTTTGACCAAAATTGCTGACAAGTTAGTAGCTGAAAAAGAGAGGAAGCAAGTCAAGCCTCATTCTGTCACTTACTGATAAAGGTGCCAGACTTGCTCAGTTTCCCCCATTTGTAAAATGGCCATTGTAATTAAAACTCACCACATAGGGCTTTGAAGGTTAAATGGGATTATATATGGAAAGCATCTGTTTGTCATCTAGTAAGCAGTCATTAAGTCTTAGTTAATATTCTTAAAAGACTCTGAGATAATTGTTTCTTTTCTTTTTTTTGATTGCTGGCGCAGTCTAAATGACATGAATTGTACATAGGAGCTGCCTGTTAGGATTTGGGACCTCTGACTCCTTGACTCTCTCATTGATTTTGTCTTCCACTCAGCCTGGGGTCCTCCTTTCATGGTTATATCCTGGACCTTGTTATCACTGGCAGCTGCACCATATTCTACATCTCAGTCTCAAACCTGACGCTTCCTGACTATTACCCCACCCCTACATCTTTCCAGCTCACTTACTCTAGGAATTACAGCATTTCTCTGACCTCATTCAGCCTCCAGCCTGCTACATTTTCACTCTCTACCATCCCACTCTTCTTTGTCACCCTACTTCACCACCCGACTCCACTCCATCACTCCACTGTCCCCCCTCACTCCATCATCGCCCTCCACTCCACCACCTCACCCTGCTGCATCATCCCACCCTACTCCATTACCCCCCAACTCCACTCCATCGCCCTGCTCCACTCCAC